TTCAACCCCATTCTACAAATTAAGGTTCTCAACCATTCAATAAACATTATACGAATTCTGTTGTGTAATGACTTGAAATAAAAATTCAAACAATAAGCAAGTGCTGTTGATCATCTTATAAAGCCTTTATGATTTAAGAATGAAGGCAGATCTAGTCTCTTTTCAATAAGTTCCCTCAATTATTCACAAGAAATAGGAAGCTAAATATAATTTAAATTATGACAGATTACTACCTCTCCAATCCTTTTATTAGCTGTATTGTTGAATAGGATAAAAAGGATAATGAAGGAGTCCTACCCCTTCCCTGCTCCAATAAGTGCCAGTTGGCAGGAAAATGGTCACAAATCTAAACAGACAAGTCAGCTAATTACATATTTTTCAAAAATCTCTTGAAAATAAGCTTACACATTTTAAGATAGAGTGCTGCTCCCTTCCACGCTCAGACTTTCTCATACTTTTCCACTGGATTATTAAAAGAACTAAGAATCGGGTTCAAGGACATGAGGTGGTGTTTTTCTCACGAGATAAATGTACTGATATATTTTTCTCAGAATGCTGAGTGCTCACTTCTCCATGAGTGACTACAGCACACAGAGTTACAGAGGTCAAGGGCGGGCACCATGTCGCTTGATTTTCCTTTGGTCCATGTTCTGTGTTAATGCTTGAATAGGTGGCAAAGCTTTTGCAAGAAAAGGAAGAAAAAAAAATCATGGTAACTTTTTAAGACAAAACATTTTGTTTCCATTTTATTAACTATCCTATAAAACACCAAACTAGAATCATTCTCACATGATCAGTTTAAAGCAATCAGGGCACGGAGATGATTCAACCCAAAGCAAATTCAAAAGAGCGAAATAAGCCAAAAAGAAAAAGAAAAATACCGGATGGTCTCACTCATAGCAGGAATCTAGAAAACTTAAATAAGGGACCAGGAAAATGAATATAAGAAAGTGAAAATCAAAATCAACAAAAAACTATGAACCAGAGACACTTTTTGGGGGGTGGGGGGCGGGAGGGGAAGGATTGGGGTCAGAATGGGGCGTTTGCAATTGTATGGGGGAATATAAAAATAAAATTTATTATTTAAAAAATAAATAAATAAAATGCATTTCATACAAAAAAAAAAAAAAAAGATGCACATGTGAGGCCCGTTTCTCATCGAGGGAACTGTTTCAAGCGGAAATCTCCACTGATCTCACACATCTACCAGTCGAAGAGGCTGTAATCAGTGAAAGGGAGGGAGACAAAATCCCGCAGGTGATCGCCACCCTAAGTGACCATCCTCACAGCCCACACCTCCAACTTCTAGACTGTTCTCAGCAGGAAGAGGCACCTCTTGTCACCTGGGGGAAACACCCAGGAATTCAGACAGCCACAATCACAGCAACACACCCCGGTAACATATAATTCAGTCTCCATCACCTTACACTCCAGCCCCTTCAGTGTAAACTGGTGACATAACCACACCCCGGCTATTTTCATTTTCTAGTCCTATTCTGTACACACACACGGCATCCACCTTAGGCTTGCCGAGATTTGTGAAATGCATCCAGCCGGCTCAATTGTCTGTCTTAATGCACACAAGACATCCTTAAATTTAACTAATCAGATAATGGATTCCTCTATCTGAGCGCATCTATATATTCTGGTGACTCACAGCTCCCAGAATCTAATGGACCCACAGTATGAAGGACCCACAAGACCTGCCTCTCCCCATCTGCCAGGGACACCGGCCTCACACCGCTGCAACTGACCGCTGCTCCATTTCTGAAGCCATGGACTGAACAGAAAACATCGAAAGGTTATTTCAGAGGAGGGCTGTTCAGCCTTAAACTGGTGCTCGGCTTCCAAAATCAAGATTAGTCAGAGACAGGGAAGTAAATGTGTCATTGGTGACCCTGCCCTATATTGCCACCTGGATGAAAACAACAAAGACAAACTTTGAAAGACAAACTTGCAAAAACAAACTCTGAAAACACAGGTAAGTGAGAAATAGTAAGAGTCTTTATTTACACCCTAATATTCCTGCCTCCACTGGGGTCAAAATGGCCAAGTCTCAGAATTTCACCTGGAAAATAACTGATTAAGCCATTTTCAACTGTCGTGTCAAAGACGGAGCTTAGACTCCTCCTATTTTATTGAAATGGACCACAGATAAAACCAAGATTCCTGCCTCAGTCCATTCAAATGCTAGGCTTGAGTAATCACATTTAACTCTGGCATTGGCCAGACAAGGAGGATAATTCAATGGATGGTGTCTTTTGGGAGGTGAGTACTTACTTAACTCAGGGAGGAGCTGATAACTAAAATTAACAGAAAAAAAGGAAAGGAAACTGGACTGCTAAATGGGCAGCATGCATACGATATGAGTATTATTCAGGGGGCAGAAAATGAAGATGAGCATTTACCTGAGGGCTGGGGATAAATAAATTAGTCTAAACCTCCACAAATGTCCATAGACCCAATCAAGAAAGCTCAAGATGTAATTCATCACTGATCAGTGTATCAACTGGTCACAACTGGAGCACGTGCATTTAATAAATTTGTCTATTTGTGAATAAAAGCAACTGGAAATTGCAATGTCACTGAGTCACGAGAAACCAAAGTCCCCATATCTGAGGGTTTTTTTTGCCAAAAGAGTCACTAGATCTATTAATAACCAGATGACTAGATTTAGTCACTATCATGACAATGAGCTTGTGACCATGAGAAGGTGAGGTCCTGAACTCAAGAGATGGACCATGATAATGGGGTCAAACATGAAAACAGATGGACCAGGGGCTTCCTCGCCTTAATATAGTCTTCCAGGCTCGATACAGAATCAGAGGGCCAGGGCCTCCGTGGTGGCACAGGGGTTAAGCGTCAGCACTATGTCACTGCAGCACAAGTTCAATCCCCAGCCAGGGAGTGACCCACATGGCGCAGCAGACCTCTCCTGTCTCACCCGCTGCTCCCCTCAGCAGTGGATTTCAGTCGATCTGCTTGTTCTACTCCCCACTCTCTCTGGTGAATCCTCTCACCCCTAGCACCTCTGGCTTACACCCCAATTCTTGCATGCATAAATAAATAAATCTTTAAAAAAATAATCAGAGGGCCAGCATCACCCCTTCTTCCCTGTGGATATTTACCATGTCCAAGCAGCAGGCCACACAAGGGGGAACACCTGTGACGGCCCCTGTCCCTGCAGAGTACCCAAAACGGCCAGGAGCACACTCACAAGCAAGTCACCAAAACTCAAACAAGGAAGGCGCTGGGAAGGGCGCGCAAAGGTGTGGGAACCCAGAATGGTAGATGAGTTCACTGGGCGCTCAGGCGCTGGGGCTTCCCAGGGTAAGGAGGAGCCGCTCGAGCCACGGGCTGAGTCATTCCTAGCGAGGGGTGCCCTTTGACAAGACTTGTCTTCAGGACCTGAGGAATAAATTTTGCCAGTTGAAACGAAAAACTACACATTTTCTGAGCTACATGTAAGTGTATTGATCAGTCGCCAAATTGATAACTGGGCGGCGTGCCAGAGCACTCAGTGATGTTCTAGATGTCATTTAAGCCATTTTTTCAAGGAGGTCGTCTGGGAGTTTCAAGATGGTGGCAAGTGGGCAGCAGGGAGCACGAGAAGAGAAGGCCATGGCAGAAGCACCGAGGCAAGAGACGGAAGGAATAGTTTTAAAGCAACAAATTCAAGTTTATGGGAGAGGCTAGAAATGCCCCATTTCCAGTGTTATGGAGATCACGCCGCGTATTCGAAGCCCAGGGGAAAAATGTCCCCCAGTTACTGGCCTTAGCCACTACACCTTAACATTAGCAATAGGACCTTAAAATACCGGGTCCTGCCATCAACTGGCTCTGCATCTCCTGACAGTAGTTGGATGCACCCATCAGTACTAAAATGTGACTTGTCCTTTATGTGCAAAGCTCAGACACCTCAGAAATGCAGACACCCCAGGCAGTTCGCGCGGACTGGTCTCCACAGCTCCAGGGACAAAGAGCTTTGCCCGCAGGAGCAGGTGGAAGACAGGAGGTGATTGAAACAGGAGTGTCAGCCCAGCCTAGGCTAGTGCACCGAGAGGTCAGCGTCACCAGGTCTCAGGTAGGGTGGGCTGCTGCTGTATTTCCCCCCACGGCAACACCTGCACCCCCTGAGATAACTCAAAGACCACCACCTCTCTGAACCCTCAAATTGGACACCTGGGGGTTTGTTCTTTTTTTTTGGTATCAAGTATGGTCCCCCCTGTTCCCCTAAGGTATCTCAAAGCCCCGCTGATGGGCACACCAGCTGGCAAACACGCGCGGGCACAAGCCCCAGGCGTGGCGGCTGCGGCGGGCGAGAAGCAGCGCGCCAGCCCCGGGGACCAGAGGCTGGACCCGCAGATGTCCAGGGCTCGGCGGCGCCCCCTGGAAGGGGGGATCCTCGCCCACGCCCCGACCCTCCCGGGAGGACTTCTAGCCCCCGCAGCATCTGTCGATCCGCGCGCGCCCCCAGGGCAGGCCACGCCGGGAGGACGCGGCTCTGTGTCCAAACCCGCCGCCCCTTAGGACGCGCAGGGGCTGCCCGGGGTGCGCGGGCTGCACCCCGGCTTCTCCGCGCGCGCAGGGGGCGTCTCCCGGCGGCGGCCGCACCCCCAGGCCGGCACCCGGGCCAGGTGGCCGCCGGCACAGCTGGCGCCGGGGAACCCCGGGCCTCGCGGGTCACGGCCCAGCAGCTGACTCCACGCCCCCGGGACGGGGTTCGGGGCTCCACCCTGCGCGGGCCGCCCCCGGGGGTGCGGAGGGCTGGGGGCGCGGGCGGGAGTGGGGACCGCGGGTGGCGCAGTCGCCGCCCCTGGGGACCCGGGACAAAGCTGCCGGCCCCGGCGCGCTCGCCCGGGCTCTGGGGCGCCGCGGGCGCAGGAGACCCGGGGACCCCCAAGAGGGGCCGGGCAGCCGTCGCGGGGGTCGAGCCGCGCGGGAGTTCCGGCGGGCGGGGATCCCCAGGGCCCCCCAGCAGGTGGCTCGGCGCGCCCTACCTTGGCGGCGGGGTCCGCGCTGGCGAGGGCCGGGTCCCCGCGCGCGCCGGGCGCCGTGTCCGCCTCCGCCGCGGGGCCGCCGGGCTGGGGCTCGGCCGGCGCGGCGCTCCCCGCCTCGGGCCGCTCCGGGCTCCGCTGCTCCGTGGAGCTCCCGGCGCCCATGGCTGCTCCGGTGCCCGCGCCCCGCGCCCGGCGCCTCCCCAAAGCGCAGCGCCGCGCCCCGAGCCCTGTCCCCGCGCGCCCCGCGCCCGCCCGGCGGCGACTGCGGAGACGCGCTCGCGGCAAACTCCTTAAAAGAAAAAAGAAAAAAAAAAAACACCTCTTGGCCGCCTCCCTGCGCCTCCCCCGGCTCCCCCGCCTCCCCCGCTCATCACATGAGCGCAGCCCAGACACGCCCTGCGGCAGCATCTCCCCGGCCGCCGGCCCGGGGCGCGGCCAGATCCCGCCCCTCGCCCCCCGCCCCCCGCACCCCGCACCCCCAGGGCGCCTCCCGGCTCAGCCTCGGGGACCCAGGGCTGGGGAGAAGCACAAAGTGGGGAGGGCACAGATGCGGGGAGAGGGATGCGCGCGGGGGTGGTCAGCGACTGGTGACCCACGGCGCGAGCCTCTGCCGCGGCCGCCGGGCAGCTCGCCCCGAAAGGACCCCGCGCCCCTTTGCTGACCGTGCGGGACCCGAAACGCGGGTCCCAGCCCCTCCCCGGGAGCGGGAGGCAGGCGCGCCCCTTGGCACCTCGGGGGCTGCAGCCCACAGGCGCAGGCCGTGGGGCCGCGGGGGTGGGGGGGGCTGGCGGGACCGTGATGTCAGCAGATGCCACCGGCACCCCCGGGCGCCCTCCGGCCCCGGAGTTTGGGAACTGACACCGTTCCTGGAAAAGCGCCTTCCTCTGAGGCCCGAGGCTGCGGGTCCGGGCCACGCCCCGCTGAAACTTGATGGATGGATTTTGTCCATTTGCGATCAGTGTTTCTCCACAGAGGCCTTAAATAATGTCGGCCGAGCGGCTTTGCTTTCTCCCCCTCATGCTCTCGAGCAGAATGTTTGTTATATGAAAATACAGCATTTTTTTAGCATATGTTTAGCTCATGGAGGGGGGGGGTGAGCGTAAAGCTAGTGGGACTGAAAGACAAAAATTATTATCCCAGTTTTAACTGGCGACCGAGGGCCTTAGTTTTCACGAGTAGCTGGAATCACCGACTCCTGACGCTGTCGGAAATGCTAGAATACTTACTGCATATGAGGAAATGTGGGGGGTACTGAAGCTGGATGCCAGATAAACCCCTTGCGCAGACTGAGCACAATTTAGTGGTGCATTGATACAAGTCATAGTTCAGCAGGATATTGTGAGCCTGATTAATTGCAGGCGATGTAGTGGCAGCATCCAGGATAAAATGTTTTCTGAGTTCCTCGCTTTTATTGAAGGAGTACACGAAGACCAGTTTCTCTGGAATTTATCCTTTCAGAAAAGAGTATATTTGTAAAACACTTGGTTTTAGGGCACTATAAGCATTTGAACTCTTTCAACTTAAATACTGACCATTATGAACAGATGAGGATTTACTCTGGAGCCGGCACTATTCAAGCCCATGGTAGCTCTAATCTCATTTAACCTTCACAAAACCCCAGTCACCGTCACAAAATCCCCATGAGGGAGATCTTTTTATTCTCCTTTCTCCAAAGGACTGGGGAAAAGCAGGCCCAGGGACATCACCGCAGGTGCTCAAAGGTTGTCATCTGGTAGAAGGGACAGCAAGGAGCCCTCTCAGCAGCCCATGCCCCTTCTGCAGAGGCTTAGACTGTGCTCCCTCTTCTAGGGGATGTTAGCGAAGAGCGCTCTTAGACCTCACTGAGGATGTTAAGAGCTGAAAAACACTGTTAAGGCCTATTTGAGGAAGATTACTGTCAGCACATATGAAAACGTGTCAGTAAGTAACACAAATGCTACCAAAAATTTCCATTCTTTGAGATTATATTTACCCACTTCTTGGGAAATTCTTAACAATGCTTTTAGCATCTACTAACCTTCACATTTTAAGAAAAGATTACAAGGTCCAAGATTCCCAGCCAGAAGTACACAGCCCACATGCTAAGGAAGACATAGCCAGGGCTGCCTACATTGGCAGTTGCTCACTTTATGTTTATTTTCCAGGTTATGAAAATGCTCCTAGTCTTATTTTTTTAGCAGCAAAATCTTATTTTAAGAAATGTGCCTATTCTAGTACTCCCTCTCCAGTTAAAACTAGCTCCTTGAGGTCCTCCCCTGATGGTGCAGGCGGTTGAGCGCAGCGCTGTGAAGCTGTCCGCAGCCTCTACAGCGCGGGTTCGATCCTGGCCAGCCCGTGAGGGTCCCACATGGCTCGGCAGACCTCTCAGGTCTCGCCTGCTGCTGCCCTCGGAGTGTATTTCATCAGTCTGCCTGTTCTGTTCCCAGCTCTCTCTGGTGAATACTACAAAATTCATTCATTCATTCCTCTCAGCACATACTTGAGTCCCTATTATGTGCCCAGTACAGAGCAACTCTGTTTCAAGTCCCCAGGGTTTGTTTCCTAGGATGTTGGAGGCACCCTCCTAAGTGCTTGGATTAGTCAGTGATGGGAGGAAGGGGCTGTTCTCCATTTCCACTTCTCAGTTCAAGACTGTCAGTTATAGGCCCCCTTGGTGGCACGAGGGGTTAAGTCTCAGCACTATGAAGCTATCAGTAGGCACTACAGCACGAATTCGATGCCCGGCCAGAGAGCTATGCACATGGCACAGCAGACCTCTCCTGTCTCCCTGCTGCTCCCCTCAGCAGTGTATTTCAGTAGATCTGCCTGTTCTGCTCCCTAGTCTGTCTCTGGTAACTCTTCGCCCCCACCCCCACCTTTGGCCTACACCCCAGCTCTTGTATGCATAAATAAGTAAAGTAAATCTTTAAAAAAAAAAAAAGACTGTCGGTTACCCCAAAGTGTCCCCAGCAGCACTTTCACTGGCAAACAGCAGGACGCAGGTGTTTTGAGCACAGGCTCTCCCAGGGGAGCCCTGGTGTAGAGCTGATGCCCTGGGAGGGTTAATGTTCTCATCAAAACAGCTTGAAATGTCTCAAAAACAAACACATAGCGCCTGAACTGCAGGCTGAGCTTGTCAGCTTGGGCTGCCTTCTCCAGAAGGACAGGTCACTGAAAGCCATAGCTGGCCTTTTCCAGGGTTTTGAAGGGATTCATGAATGTGAAACATTTTTACAATGGAGTTCATGAAACTCCGTGTAAGAGAAATAATTGTAATTATTAAAACAATTTAAAACCCACACTTGGGGCCTCCAAGATGGTGCAGCAGGTTGAGCACAGCGTTGAGAAGCTGTCCGCAGCCTCTGCAGCGCGGGTTCGATTCCCAGCTGGCCAGGGAGATTCTCACTTGGCACAGCAGACCTCTCCTGCTGTGCCCGCTGCTCCCCTCAGCAGTGTGTTTCAGTCAGTCTGCCTGTTCTGTTCCCTACTCTGTCTCTGGTGAATCCTCTCACCCTCCCACGCCTCTGGCCTGTACCCCAGCTATTGTATAAATAAAAAATGAATCTTAAAAAAAATTAAAAAAAAAACCCAACACTTGGGGCCTCCCTGGTGGCGCAAGGGGTTAAGCACAACACTGTGAAGCCATCTGCAGCCTCTGCAGCAAGAGTTTGATCCCCGGCCAGGGAACTGGCTACAGCAGACCTCTCCTGTCTTGCCCGCTGCTCCCCTCAGCAGTGTATTTCAGTAGATCTGCCCCATTCTGTCTCTGGTGAATCCTCTCACCCCCTGCACGTCTGGCCTGTACCCCAGTTCTTGTATGCATAAATAAATAAATCTTTAAAAAGAAAATAAAACCAGCACTTAACACTACACCACAGATTCACTCTGCAGCTACAAAGCCTTCAGGTGATTTCACTTAGAAGTTTGCCCCTGAAACTACCACTTATCAATTCTTTGTTTTCTCTAAATAAAAAGCCTACCTTCATATGGGATTTCTTACACGGAGATAACAATGTCATCTAAGAATCCAACCCCTATCGCCTCTTTTGCATTTGCTCATTATAAATTAGAAAACTAGAAGAATTAACAATACTAGTCATCACATATGCAGCTAATAATCCAACATTCTTATAGAAAATAAAGGAAAAGTTCATACAAAGATATAGCCCAAAGGCCAACCATCGTAGCTATATTTCATATAGACCAGCCGATGCTATTCTTTTAACTTTTTTTTTAAAGACTTATTTATTATTATTTATTTATTTATACAAGCACTGGGTACAGTCAGAAGTGCGGGAGGGTGAGAGAATTCACCAGAGCCAGAGCCAGAGCGGGGAGCAGAGCAGGCAGAAGGACCAAGGTACACTGCTGAGGGGAGCAGCAGGCGGCAGGAGGGGTCTGCGCTCCATGTGGGACCCTCCTCCGGTGGCCGGGGAGCAGCCGGGGATTGAACCGGCGTTGCAGAGGCTGCGGGGAGCTTCGCAACCCAGCGCTCAACCGCTGCGCCACCGGGGAGGCCCTATTCTTTTAACTTTTAAGGAATGGGTTGCTTTGGGGTTAACTCTACAGCCACCCATTTAAATATTAGTTTTGTTTACCAAGATTTAAGATTGATTCCTGATCAAATTTAAGATTACTCTGAAATAACAAGGGGAGGGATTCATTTATCTTTTCATTTATATTTTTCCAGCTATTATGGAAACCTTTACAGGAGCAATGACTTTCAGAGAACTAATCAAAATGTGTCTAACATGGGGGAGCAGGGACTATGGTGACAGGTCATGGGTGCTGCAGTGGTGGGAGATTTATGGGGGGACTACCGCTGAGGGGAGATATCAAATATTGTCCAAAAATGCACAATGTAAGGAAATAAAGTTTAATCAAAAAAAAAATGTGTCTAAACATAAACAAACAAATAGACTGTGGTTGAAGTGCAGTCCAGGCTTGGCTCCTCCTTCTTCTAGAATTGGCTGCTCTCCACCCACATTTTTTTTTAAAGATTTTTCTATTTATGCATACAAGAGCTGGGGTACAGGCTAAAAGTGAGGGGGTGAGAGGACTCACCAGAGACAGAGTGGGGAGCAGAACAGGCAGAGCTACTGAAACACACTGCTAAGGGGAAAAGTGGGGATTAGGGGAGAAGTCTGCCGTGCCATGTGGGTAGTTCATTTTGTGGGTGCTTA